TCATTGATTTTGATGAGCAACATGAAGGCACCTCGAGTGCATCGACCACTGCTGACTGCAAACTGCACTCCAAACATGGTGTTAAGGAGAGTGGACTTCCCTGTGCTCTGGACTCCAAGAACTGTGACTACCCGGATCTTTCTCTTTGGAGACACCAGGTCATTGAGCTGAGAGAGAACGTCACTCACCCATCTGAGAGGTATGTTGGATGCATCTCCATCCACAAGTTCAAGAGCAAATCCATCTAGCAACAGTTCTGCACAGAGTTTGGGCAGGTGCTGTAATTGTTGACGTCTGGGGTCTGTCTCAGGAAGGGAAACTGAAGCTTCATAGATTTGACCCATTTCACGGAAGAAGTGTTCAGTCCCCAGTGAGCTGTTGGAAAGGTGTTTGTCAATTTCTTTGATCTCCTCTTTGTTCTCAGAATTCTTGCATTTTTCTTTATACTGCTGCCTGAGTCCAGACAGTTTCAGACGAGACACATTATCGAGGTTCATTCTCATCCATTTCAGGAAATAACACCTTTCTATCCCTGGGCTTGATATTGCGGTGATGAAGCATGTCATAGCTGGTGACATTTCATAGGAGTTCTGTCGTTGTCGCAGTTCTTCTTTCTGTACCTGAAGATCACTTTTGTACTTTTCTATGTTTTCAGACCCAACTTTCCGAAGCCGGAATTCTTCCTTCTCTAAGCTTGTTAAGTCCTTCCATATTTGGCCTTGCAAGGGAAGCTGGTCTTCTTTGTATCTAAGGATGTCTTGAATTTCTGCAGTGATGGCATCTGCTTTTTCTTTTCCAGACTGGCACTCTGAAGAGTTTTCATCAACCAAGATTCCCATTTTACGGGCAATGTCAGCCATTTGCGCTATTGGCATCTTCATCTTTGAGTTCTCAACTACGTCACTGACTGATTTCCTCAAGCTCTTGACAAAGTCTGCATCATTCGTTTTCTTTGTTTTCAAAATAATGTTGTTCTTTGTCAAGCACAACCTGGTTGCTACTTTTTTTAGAGCATCTAAAGTGAAACTCTTACTCTGCTGGTTCCCCACCAAGAAGATCTGTGCCTTGTGGTTGTGGTTGGTAAGTAGACTGCATTCAGAGTCCAAGTTGTCAAAGAACACGAAAACCGCTTCTGATGTC